CTATAACATTACATATATATATTCTATGAAATACCATCAGCTTTCCAGGTAACGCATCGATGTCTATAACATTACATATATATATTCTATGAAATACCATCAGCTTTCCAGGTAACGCATCAATGTCTATAACATTACATATATATTCTATGAAATACCATCAGCTTTCCAGGTAACGCATCAATGTCTATAACATTACATATATATTCTACTAATATCGTTTCATGCATAAATAGTTCTCAAATATACTTTTTAGATAGGGAGATAAAAATTCAATTGTGCAATTATAGTCTTTGATTTAAAAGAAGGTTAATAAATGACCTTAGGTGTATCCACTACTATGGCCAACAACGAGTCTTTTGTTGACGTATTGGGTTTCAGTTTTGTTTTTACAAATATCTGCACTTCTACCTAAAGATGAAAACACCACCCTACAACGAAACGGAAAAGTTCTGGCTTAAAATAAGTATTTTCAGTATCAGAATGTACTCACTGTATTCTTTCTCTCGTTATTTTTCTAACTATCCGCCTATCTGAATAAAGTTTTTTATTATTATCTAAGACTAGCAGAATTACTGCAAGGAAGAGCCAGCCTGTGAAATTTGAAAAATTTGAAGCCCCAAGCAGTTCGTGATATAACCCCCCCCCCCCTACCGCTTGGTGTGAAATTGGTTGTTTCGCTCCAGTAGCCAAGACCCGGATCGTTCTGAAAAGTTATGGTGATATACGGGGTAAAATCCTTTGTTTTGGTGAGTGAGGTTTACGATGAGCTCCCCCCTCTCTCTCTACCCCCCAGACTTTATGCCGAAAAAACTGATATTGAATTAAAGTGATTTAAACCAGACAAGATGGGGAAAGGCGGATATCGTTAGGAGTAGTGTGGTGGAAACCGATCACAAAAACGCCGCTACTGTATTTATTAATTTATTTTGTTTTGGTGTTTAAATAATGACATTCAAACAAAAATGTACAAAAATAATACATATTTTATGGTGTATAGATACTGTATAAATTGTACTCAATATACCAGACGTATTTTTAATATTGCTATATAAACTATAAATAATATATCAGACGATTTTAATGTTGCTATATAAACTGTAGATAATACATCAGACGCATTTTAATGTTGTTGTATAAACTGTAGATAATACATCAGACGCATTTTAATGTTGTTATATAAACTGTAGATAATACATCAGACGCATTTTAATGTTGTTGTATAAACTGTAGATAATACATCAGACGCATTTTAATGTTGTTATATA